GAAAGGAAAATCCTGTATCACAAACCTACTGGAGTTTTATGACAAGGTGACAGAAATAAGGCAGCAGAGAGAGAGAGGGGAGGGGTAGACTGCATTTTCTTGAACTGTAAGAAGGTTTTCGACACAGTTCCGCAGAGATTAATGCAAAAGATGGAGGAGTAGGCAGGAATAACAGGAAAGCACTGCAGTGAATCAGGAAATACCTGACAGGAAGGAAACAACGAGTGATGGTACGTGACGAGGTGTCAGAGTGGGATTGATTCAGAGATGTCCCTGCTCGCAGATTACGTAAAACTAATGAGGAGAATACAAATAGACGAGGATCAGGAACGACAGGCTGCAAGCCTGGTCCGACAAATGGCTCCTGGAGTTTTTAATCCCACCAAGTGGAAAGTCATTAAGCTTAGGAATAGACAAAGAAAATTACAGACGGAGTACATGCTCAGGGGTTAAGGACTGCAAACCTTGGGAAATTGGGGAATCATAGCCAGCGCGTCCCCCGAGGCGCACAGAAGTAAAGTAACTGCTGCAGCATATGGGCGCCTGGCATACCTAAGAATAGCTTTTAGACATCTGAGTAAGAAGTCATTCATGACACTACACCGTGTACATCAATCCCGTATTGGAGTATGCAGCACTATTATGGAACCCACATCTGGTGACACTCGTCAAGAAATTCGAGAAAGTGCAAAAGCTTGCAAAAAGACCAGTCCTAGAGGTTAAGGGAAATCAGCCTGATGACACTGGAGGACAGGAAGGACATATTAACAACGTTTAAAATACTGAGAGGAATTTACATGATAGACAAGGACCGAATGTTTCAGAAATGGGACACAGCAACAAGGAAACAACTGGATCCATACATTGCTTTAAGAAGAGGTATGATAAGTCTCTTGGAGCAGAGAGAGAGTGGACCTGTTAGTTACTTATGAAGAGGCGGGGCCAAGAGCTGTGAATCGACCCCTGCAACCACATATAGATGAGTACATATATGTGAGTATACACAAACACACACACTCAGACACACACACTCAGACACACACACTCACACACACTCTCTCACATACACACACAAACAGGTGTTGAACACAGGGTCTGTTCACAGTATTGGCTGGTGGATTTCCCACTGTTGGTACTGAGCACGTGAGTGTTGTGAGTGTGTGTGTGTGTGTGTGTGTGTGTGTGTGTGTGTGTGTGTGTGTGTGTGTGTGTGTGTGTGTGTGTGTGTGTGTGTGTGTGTGTACTTAGAGTTGTGTTTAGGGATGCTGAGTCTTAGCTCCTGGCCCCTCCTCTTTAACGCAGTAGCCGTGAATATTGGTACACGGCCTCTCCAGCACTATCATACCTATTCTTGAAACTCTGGATGGTGTTTGCCACCATCACTTCCTCAACTAGATCATTCCACTTAACACCTTGAGACTAAACAAACATTTCCTAACCTCCCTGTGATTCATCTGTGTTTTTAGTTTCCACTTACGCTCTCTTGCCTCTGTGCCTCACATTGTAAACAGTCTTCTCTGCCAGATTCCCTGAACTGAATTTCTTAACGTTGTAATAACGTCTCGTGTGGTTCATTAATAAAGAACAAAGATTTTATTTCTTTTGCAAAGGTTACAATGTGTAATTACAATTTTGATTTGTTAAATACAAAGAAAGTTGGATCGCTAGCACACTCAGGTCACACACTGAGGTCCGGAGTTCGAATCTCCTCCGGTACGGCTGGAAAACATTAGGGACGTGTTTCCATAAGAAACCTGCTGTCCCTGTTCATCCATCAGTAAAATAGGTACCTGGGTGTTAGTCGACTGGTGTGGGTCGCATCCTGGAACAAAACTGACCTAATTTGCCCGAAATGCTTAACATAACAAGCGGCTTTCTATATAGTAATATATCATTGATGTCAGCTAGGACTGTATACCATGTAGTAGTATATGTACTTGTAGTAAATAAAGATATTATTATTATTATTATTATTATTATTATTATTATTATTATTATTATTATTATTATTATTATTATGATCATGCAGGGGCATTGCGGGTTGCTCTTTCTTAGGTTGTCAGTTTCAGTTACTCTAGTTTTTCCTCATAGTTCATAGTCTTGTTGTAACCTCTGGACCTCTTGGCGCTTCCAAACATGGTTGACCAAGTGTGGACTCCATGCTACGATACCTCTGACGTAAGAGTCTTTACTAAGGTTCACGAAGGAAATCCCTTAGATTAGCTAAGCCGGCATGTGCTTCTGGTATTATCTGGTTTGCTTGTTAGTGAGGATGTAGGGGTTGGAATGATGGTTACATATAGGCAGTGGTGAGGATGGTGCAATATGGAGGTGGTGGGCGGGAAGGGATATAGGTTATTCTGGGGTATTGCGCTTGTGTGGGTAGTGGGAGGGGGTGAGGGAGTCACTAGGTGACCCGCCCTCTCTGTCCTCTTCGCAGAACTCATCCAATTGTTGTTTTGTTAGAAGATTTGTTTTTCTTTTCTTTCCCCTTCCCCCTTAGTCCTTCCCTCTGTGCCTGTGTTCTGTGTCTCAGGTCTCAGATCTGCTTTCTAAGATTCTGTCTCGTGAAATTCCTCATGCGAGAATGAATTGGATCAGATAGCATTTGTCCCTGCACTGTTTGCTGATCATTAATTATTTACATTTCCCTCGTTTCTTTCTTCGTTCCTACAGCCTCCATGACACTGTGTATTAGTGATCTCACTGCCTGGCTTCCTAAGTTCCTCTGTCATCCTTCAATACTTATCTTGTTTAACTTGTGTCTGGTGTGAGTGTTGCAGCTGGTGAGAGAGAGACCAGCTGACCAACCCTAATTCATGCTTACTCTCTCTCTCTCTCTCTCTCTCTCTCTCTCTCTCTCTCTCTCTCTCTTACACAAGGGTTTTTGCAGGATTGAATTAAGAGGTCATATCTTTATAAACAAGGTAAGAGCTGTTACCTGTTTTTTCTCATTTGAAAATCTTCCCTATCCTTATCATTATTAACTGTTTATAAATATACAAATAAGGAACAGGATTAATTGAGAGCCAGCTGTGAACCAGCTGGTTCACAGCTGGTTCACTGACTTTATTTCATCAATGTTTTCATGCTGCATGAACATGTTCCAGACTCAAGTCATTCTAGAAATGAATGATACCAGATGAATTGATCATCTTGAGGAGGGTACAGGCAGAGTGTGGTTGCTGTGGGCTGTCCGTCTTGTGATAAAATAAAGCTGTTTTCCGACTGTCCGCGAAGTATATACAAGTGAGGTACCTTGACAATATTGGCCTTTTGCGTAACGGTAAGACTTACCCACAACTCCCCGGTGTTGAAGGTTCTGCTGAAATTACAGATCTATCCAGGTCGGTCCAGCAAAAAATAATTCGTCTTGCTGGGATCTCTATTCTGACCAAAAGTTGCAGATGAGACTGGGGAGGATGGGGGAGGGTCAGGCAATCCACGAAAGTGGTGCATACTCAAGGTGTGAGCACACTTGTTCCTCATGCAGTTTTGCAGCCTCTACTGTCGAACAGGTATGAGATATGCTTTAGTGCTGTTAGCTTCTTCGCTGCATTGCTTGCAAAATTTACTGAGTAATTCTTCATAGACATTTTGGAGTAAAATTTCACCCTTAGGATATTAACTTCATCCCCGGGTTCTAACACTCTTCTTCCATTCATCCTTACTACTGCTCCAGCAATAACATCTTGTTGCCAAGAGACCATCATCATTGTGTTTTCTCAGGAGCAAATGTAACAAGTCATCGCTTTCCCCAAATTCACATAGCTGTAAGCTGGTGGTTGATATAACGTAGAGCAGCTGGCATTTCCTTTGCATATGCATGGGATTTTGAATGAGGTGACGAAGGTCATTAGAGTAAACATTCCATAACAATGGATTGAACATACTTCTCTGTGGAACACTGACACCAAAAGAGTGTCTTGTTGACTCTGCCCCATTGATAAATATTCGAAGATAACTTTGAGGGTAATTACTAAGGAGGCATCATTCAGAGCCAGCGACTCCAAGTAACTGAAGTTTTGCCAATAGTCCCTGGTGCTATATTCGCTGATCCAGTGCTTCTACACAGCTGATCTTGGATTCATCCAGTGACTGATGCCACATAGTGGGGAAATTTAACAGATCAGCAGCAGGAGTGACACTGGTCCGTAGTTTACGAATACGGACTACATTCGCTTCGTTCCATAACGATGGCCATTTATACTTTGCTAGACAGTGTTGATAGATGCGAGTTAGAGGTGAAGCTAGCTGGTCTGCACATATACACAGCAACCTTGGGTTCACCTTATCGAGGGCCACAGCCATTTTTTGATCCAAGCATTTAATTAAGAAGATAAATATCATCCGGCCTTATTGCTACTTCTGACAGTTATTGCAACTAGCAAAGAAGGTTTCCTTGCTAGATCAGGAACTTGCATCTTGGCAGCAAATTTTTCAGCAAATAGTAGGTCAAAGTCTCGTCCAACCGATTTTGAGGTGGACCACCTTGTGGTCCTTGACCAACGAACACAAGGTTTTGCAGCCCACTCTACCTGATGCCAGTTTTCTTTTTGTGTCAGCCTCCCATCTAGAGATGGCCCACTTTCTGGACTTTTTCCATTTGCCAACAGGCTTTCCTGTGCAGGTTCCTGTTATAGATAGTGGAATGACTCTTGTACCTTCTTCAAGCCTTGTTCTAAGCAGTAGCAGCCTCTCGACAACGAAAGGCAAACCAAGGCTGATCTGAAGGTTTCTTTACTTACTGCCGGTCAGAGATGTACTTCTCTTGGAGGTTAAGGACATGTTTAGTGAAGTCATTCACCAGGTTATCAACATCACTTAATCTCATCATCATTCTCTCTCTCTCTCTCTCTCATTCTCTTAAAAGAGAGGGTAAGATGAATGTAAAGAAGAAAGGAAAGGGGAGGTAGGGAAGGTAGGAAGGAGGGGAATAGAGAGAAACAAAGGGAGGGTGAAGAGGGGAAGGGATAAGGGGTTAGGGGTGGTGTAGTTGA